CTGGCTCACTGCAGCCTCGACCTCCCGGCCTCAATGATCCTCCCATCTCAGCCTCCCAAGTAGCTGTGATTACAGGTATGTGCCGCCAGGCCCAGCTACTTTTTTTTTTTGAGTTGGAGTCTCACTCTGTTGCCCAGACTGGAGTGCAGTGGCACGCTCCTGGCCCCCGCAGCCTCCCAAGTAGCCTGAACTACAGGCGTGCGCTACCACGCCCGGCTAGTTTTGATTTATTGTAAAGACGAGGTCTCGCCAAGTTGCCCGGGAGGGTCTCGAACCTGCGGGCTCAGGCAATCCACTCCTCGGCCTCCCAAAGTGCTGGAATTACAGGCTAAGCCACCGAGCCTGGCCCCCAACTACTTTTTAAAAATTTTTTTGTAGAGATGAGGTCTTACTATGTTGCCCAAGTTGATCTTGAACTCCTGGGCTCAAGCAATCCTCCCATCTCAGCTTTCCAAAGCACGGAGATTACAGGCATGAGCTACCATGCCTGGCTTACAAATAGTTTTTTTTTTAATAATAAAAAAAGTCTTTATTCTTATAGCTGGAAAGCAGGGCATTGAAATTTCCCCATTTTAAAATCGAAATATTCATCTCATGTAGTAGTACAGTGAACAGACCCAACAAGTGAGGTGTAATTGTTTTCTGAGCTCTGTTCCTGGGCTATCAGCCATCAGGAAAATCTCTCCTAGGATTAGGTATTCAATAAAATGCTTCTACATAACTACCTCATCATAAATCACCAAATCCCATCTATTTTTACAGGGGGACAGGGGGAGGGACCCTGTACCATTAAGGTGAGAATGAAAATTTCATTATAAAACCTTGCTTTCACCTCACCACAAGTTTATTAAAAATCCTTCTGATATTAAGTTTAAATAAAAGCACTGTTCTTTTAAAGAATATTTCAAAAAGTCTACTTATGTGTTTAAAGTATAGAGATTATGAAGAAAAGAGAAGAAAAACTTTTCTTCAATTTACTCACAGGTTAAATTGTCATACTAATCAAAGTTGCTAAAATTAAAACCTTACTGCATGAAATGTCGTGATGGAAAATGCTTCCTCATTTCATCAGCACAACACTCCTTACCTGTGTCTCCATAGTCACCCAGTCAGAGCCGTTTTTAAATGAAAGACAAAGTCAAGGCACGGGATTACAGGCTGAGCCACTGAGCCTGGCTCTTTTTTTTTTTTGAGTTGGAGTCTCACTCTGTTGCCCAGGCTAGAGTGCAGTGGCATGCTCTCGGTCACCACAGCCTCGACCTACTGGGTTTAGGCGATCCTTCCATGTCAGACTTCCAAGTCGCTGGAACTAGAGGTGAGCACAACCAAGTCCAGCTTATTTTCTGATTTACTGAGAGGATTGCCTAAGCAGGAGTTCGAGATCAGCCTAGGCAACACAGTGAGCCCTCATTTCTGCAAAAAATCAAACATTAGCTGGGCATGATGGGATAGTCCCCACTACTCAGTAGGCTGAGACAGAAGAGTCACTTGAGCCTAGGAAGTCAAGGCTGTTGCAAGATGAGATCATGCCACTACACTCTAGTCTGGGTGAGAGTGAGACCTCTGACTTAAAAAGAAAGAAAGAAAGAAAGAAATATACAGATAGTCCCTTACTTAAGATGTTTTTGACTTACTATTTTTGGACTTTACAAGGGTGCAAAAGCAATACATATTTACTAGAAACTGTCCTGTGAATTTCAATCTTGTCCTGGGTGGTGACATACTGAATGGTGCTGTCTTGGGAGGATGGGAGAAAAGACAGGAAGCTGCAGTTCCCAATCGTGATCCCGAGAGCACTTGACTTCTACTCTACAGGGGACTGCATTGCTTGTGTTTTTTTGAGTATTTGTGTTTTCCCAGTCCATCATGTCTACAAAACGCCCATTACTATATTTTCAACTTGTGATGCATCTATAATGACTTGGTCCTCCCCCAACCCAAAGAGAATCATTACATTGACATCTAATGTTTTGGGGGAATGTCTTTTTCAAAACTAAAGAACCTAAAAGAAAATCCTGGCTGGGTGCAGTGGCTTATCCCCGTAATCCCAGCACTTTGGGAAGCCAAGGTGGGAGGATTGCTTGAACCCAAGAGCTCGAATTCAGCTGGGCAACATAGCGACACCTCATTTCTACAAAAAAATTTTAAAAATTGGCTGGGTGTGGTGGCATGCGCCTGTATTCCCAGCCTGTATTCTAGAGAGGCTGAGGTGGCAGGGTTGCTGAGCCCAGGAGGTCGAGGCTGCAGTGAGCTATGATTGTGTCACTACACTGCAGCCTGTGATGACAGAGTAAGACCCTAACTCACCAAAAAGAAAAAAGATAAAAGAAAGCCTTATTAAAAATAAAGCAGTTTCACTAACAAAAAGTATGTCACTGTCATATAATCACAGGGCTCAAAGGAATTCCAGAAGAACATCAAAGGAGACCCTCCTAACTGCAGCCAAGATTGTGCCAAAATTGTCCTAAATATAAACTTTAATAGAAAACAGCAAGTAAATATTACTGCAAAGAAACATTCACTTACAAGAAACAAATGTCAGAACTGCCTTTCCAAATCTCATGGGGAATTCTGACCCGAGGAACAAATCAGCCTCGTCCACCATTAAGGGGTTAGGCATTGGTTTTTTCAGGGAAAAACACAGTTACATGCATAAACAATGTTTATACATACATCGTTTGTATATATGGTCTTGAGCTCCTGAGCTCAAACTATCCTCTCACCTTGATCTCCCAATTTGTTGGAATTATAGGCATGAGCCACCGGACCCAACCTCGTTTGAAATCTTAAAACTTTCTAGGCAACCCCAGAAGAGTGAGCCATGCCCCAACACTGACACTCCCCTCTGGGAAATGCAGCCTGTTCAAGAATTGAACAATCAGATTCCAAACCCCTTGGAACTGGAGAGGGTAGAAGGGATGTAAGCGTTCAAGAAAAGACGTTCAGGGGCTTCCCAGATGGCCCCACACTCAGCTGGTATGTTAAGGGCATACAAATAAATGAATGAAGGAATTCGAGGTGTGATATCATCTGTATGTGGGGTTGATGGCTTTGTGTAACAAATGGAAGGTACATGCTAAATAACTTCTTTAAAAGATATGTTGAAGCCGGGCTCGGTGGCTCAGCCTGTAATCCCGCGCCTTTGGGAGGCTGAGGTGAGTGGATTGCCTGAGCCCGCGGGTTCGAGACCCGCCTGGGCAGCGAGACCTCATCTCTACAATGAATCAAAAAATCAGCTGGGCGTGGCAGCACATGCCTGTAATTCCGGCTACTTGGAAGGCTGAGGCAGAAGGATTGCTGAAGCCCAGCAGGTCGAGGCTGCGGTGGCCGGGAGCGGCCACTGCACTCCAGTCTGGGCGACAGTGAGACTCCAACTCAAAAAAAAAAAAAACAAAAACAAAAAAAGATATGTTGAAGTTGGGCATGGTGGCTCACAACTGTAATCCCAGCACTTAGAGAGGCGAGAGGATTGTCTGAGCCCAAGGATTTGAGATCAGCCTGGGCAACTTAGTGAGACCTCATCTCTACAATAAATAAAAAAAAATTAGCTGGGTGTGGTGGTGTGCACCTGTGGTTCCAGCTACTTGGTAGGCTGAGGTGGCGGAAGGATCACCTGAGCTCAGCAAGTCGAGGCTGCAGTGGCCTTGAGCGTGCCACTACACTCCAGTCTGAGTGAGACTTCAACTCAAAAAAAAAAAAAAGTTAGCTAAGTGTGGGGGTCAAATGTCTATAGTCCTGGTTACTTGAGAGGCTGAGGCGGGAGGATCACTAGAGCCCAGAAGGTTAAGGCACTGCAGTGAGCTATGATCTTGCACTCCAGCCTGGGCAACAGAGTCAGACCTTGATTCTAAAAAAAAATTACAAAAAAAAAAAAAAAAAAAAAAAAAAAAAAAAAAAAAAAGGATTTCAAACTCAAGTAAGGTCCTGGCAGAGACAAGAGAGCAGAGACCTTTGCCCAACTTTGGTGCCATTCTGCCCAGCGTTGGGGGGAAAGGTCTCCTGCCCCTGTCAGTATGGTCCTCTTCACAATGGCTCCCTTGACTGGCTGTCCGGCTGTGGGTAACCGCGGCAGGCCTGCTGTGGCCCAGAGTACTCTGGGACCCCTTGGCGAAATGCCATCACACAGCAGCACCAATCTTAAAACCACTTCTGCCTTCAATAGTGATTCTCATACTGTTCTGAGATTACTTTGTGACTCCAGGGAGGTGCTTCAGGGATCACACAGCACAGAAGAATCAGGGAGACCCCAAGGCTGGTCCCAGGACCACCCCTCCCAGCAACTCGCTCTCATTTGCTCTTCCATGTTGAGATTCTGCTAAGATTTCTTTGGGAGAAAGGATCCTAGTACTTTTTAAGGACTGTGAGGCCAGGAGAGGTGGCACAAGCCTGTCATCCCAGCACTCTGGGAGGCCAAGGTGAGAGAACTGCCTGAGCCCAGGGGTTCAAGATCAGCCCCAGCAACTTGGCAAGTCCTCGTCTCTACAGTAAGTCCAAAAAAACTAGCCTGGCGTGGTGGCGCATGTCTGTAGTTCCAGCTACTTGGAAGGCTCAGGCAGAAGGATCTCCTGAGCCCAGCAGGTCGAGGCTGTGGTGGCCATGAGCATGCCACTGCCCTCCAGCCTGGGCAACAGACTGAAACTCCAACGTAAAAAAAAGAAAGACAGACTATGAAAACGACTATTTCTAGTTTACCACATACACATACAAACTTAGGTCACAACAGATTTGACAGCTAGAAGCCAGTAGAGGGACCTTCATTATGGGGGAGGGGAGGCTGCCACCTTGACCACCACCTTGAGTTCTCGCTGTCTGATAACATGGTCCTCATATCAGGTAGTTCAAAAGGTAAGCCTATCACCTCACATTCTAAGTTTCCTATCCTATATGTGTACATTGACAACTAACGTGCCAGGAACATGCTATCTTCTGAATAAGGTTACAAATTCTCCTCAAAATCTGTCTTAACCAGCGGCCCTGCTGGTAAGTGTCAAGACATTTACCTGACAGGAAGTCAAGGGAGCAGTTGAGAACAGTAGTTCCTGGATGGATCCAAGTAAGAGGAATCTCTTCTGGCCTAGGTGAGCCTAAGACCACAACGTCAGCCTCTTGGAGCTATAAGGAAAAAGAACAAACCAGACACGTTTTCATCAGAAGCATAAAAACATAACTAACTACTGATGTCAAGTGACTTCAATGTATTAGATAACAATCACAGATCCAGAGTTTGTTCCAAGGTGCTGACAAGGACAAAATCACTTTACTGATTTCTTTCAAGCATATATTAGTACAAACAGAACATAATTATCAGATCCTAAAAAGAAAGGAAAATGGGACTTAAAAAAAATTCATTCCAGGTTGGTTGGGCATAGTGGCTCACACCTGTAATCCCAGGACTTTGGGAGGCCGAGGCAGGAGGATCTCTTACGCCTGAGAGTTCGAGACCAGTCTTTGCAACACAGCAACAGTTCATCTCTAAAAAACATTTACAAAATTAAGCCGGGCTCGGTGGCTCAGCCTGTAATCCCGCGCCTTTGGGAGGCTGAGGTGAGTGGATTGCCTAGCCCGCAGGTTCGAGACCCGCCTGGGCAGCGAGACCTCATCTCTACAATAAATCAAAAAATTAGCCGGGCGTGGTAGCGCGCGCCTGTAATTCCGGCTACTTGGAGGGCTGAGGCGGAAGGATCGCCGGAGCCCAGCAGGTTGAGGCTGCGGTGGCCAGGAGCGGCCACTGCACTCCAGTCTGGGCGACAGAGACTCCAACTCAAAAAATAAAATAAAATAAAAATAAAAAATTAGCCATGTGTGGTGGCACATGTCTGTAGTCCCAGCCTCTCAGGAGGTTGAGGGGGAAGGATCACCTGAGCCCAGGAAGTCAAGGCTGTGGTAAGCCGTGACCAAGCCGCTGCACTCCAGCCTTGGTGACAGAGTGATCCTCTGACTCAAATAAAAACAAAACAACGGCCGGGCTCAGTGGCTCAGCCTGTAATCCCAGCACTGTGGGAGGCCGAGGTGAATGGATTGCCTGAGCCCGTGGGTTCGAGACCCGCCTGGGCAACTTGACAAGACCTCATCTCTACAATAAATCAAAAAATCAGCCAGGCGTGGTAGGGTGTGCCTGTAGCTCCAGCTACTTGGAAGGCTGAGGTGGAAGGATCGCCAGAGCCCAGCAGGTCGAGGCTGCGGTGGCCGGGAGAGGCCATTGCACCCCAGTCTGGGTGACAAGAGTGAGACTCCAACTCAAAAATAAATAAATAAATAAAATAAAATAAAAATAAAAACAAAATAACTTCTAGCTGGGCATAGTGGCTCATGCCTATAATCCCAGCACTTTGGGAAGTGGAGGTGAGAGGTTTGCCTGAGCCCACGGGTTCGAGACCAGTTTGGGCAACTTGGCGAGACCTCATTTCTACAATAAATCAAAAAATTATCCGGGCGTGGTGGCGCATAGTCCCAGCTACTAGGAAGGTTGAGGCAGAAGGATCACCTGAGCCCAGCAGGTCAAGGCTGTGGTAGCTGTGAGTGTGGTACTGCCCTCCAGCCTAATCGACAGAGTGAGACTCTGACTCAAATTAAAAAAAAAAAAAGTCAGCCTGTGCATGCTTGTAGTTTCAGTTACTTAGAAGACTGAGATGGAAGGATCGTCTGAGTCCAGCAGGTGGAGACTGCCATGGCCATGAGCAACAAAGCAACTTTACTCCACTTTATTTACTCCAGCCTGGATGACAGAGTGAGACTAAGATTCAGGAAGGAAAAAAAAAAATCAGGAATATGCATATTCTTTTTTTAAAAAAATGCATGTCTTTTTATGGAGCCGACAGAGTCAACTTTCAAAAGTTAATATCCAAGAAATATCTGACCAATTTGAGCAGGGAAATAGGAAAAAGTAAATTAACACTCATTGAGCCACTGACTAATGAGCCAAAGATAAGTTCCAGCATTTCAGCGCCCCAGCTAATTACTGCAAAGGAAGCAGAAGAGCACATGGAAATGGTAACATGCTGACTCTATGGCATCAATCCCATTATAAAGAGAAAAGTCGGAGGGATATGGTGGCTCACGCCTGTAATCCCAGTGCTCTGGGAGGTGGAAATGGGAGGATCACTTGGGACCAGGAGTTCGAGACCAACCAGGGCAACACAGCAAGAATCCATCTCTACACAAAAATAAAAATAAATAAATAAAATGTGACTAGGAAAAAAGACATCTCTACTAAAATATTTGCCGAGGTGAGAGGATTGCTTGGGGCCAGGAGTTTGTGACTAGCCTGGCCAACATAGCAAGATGTCTTCTCTATACACACACACACACACACACACACACACACACACACACAAACACACAAGATATGAATAAGAAAAGAGAAGTCTCTACCAAAATACTTGCTTACCTAACCATTCTTCTTCTATGCCGCAGGGCCATTGCACTGCTAACCTGCGCTAAGAAGTTTGAAGTCAATCTCCTCAATAACTAGTTTGTTAAAGCCACACGTGATTTCTACAGAGATCTGAAAAGCAGCTAGACTCCTGGGTGATGTCATATTTAGGGGGAGAAAAGTATTCTAGTGGAAACAGGATTTTAAACATCTGTGTAAGAAATGTATTTCTTCATTTGCACTCATGACCATCGTAAATTTCAACCACAGTTGTCCTCAAAGGAAATACACATACTGAACGCTTGTTGCAGACTAGCAGATAAGAAACGCCATTTTGCTAGGTTTTCATGCACAAGAGCAGCAAAAACAGAACACATTCAAGCATCTATAACAAAGAGGTTAATATGAACAAGTCCGAAATGTTCATTCTGAAAAAAGCCAAGGATCACAGGTTCACACACGTCCCCTAAGAACACTTATTTTTCTACATGTGATGTCTTTGATACAACCTGTTCTTTTCATTACCTATAAATCTTAGAAATCTCATTCTGACCCCTCCACTCTGGGCCTACACACAACCCACAAGTGTGCTATGCTAACAGGCAACCGGGGGACAGTGAACCCCACAGAGAAGAGACAAAAGCCCTCTCCCTTAGCAATGATCACATCATAGATGTTAATTCTTTCTGGAAAGGAAAAATGCTAGATGCTTAAGACAATAAATAACCCACCGAGGATGAGGGAAGATTTTAATGAGCTAAAATTCGAGGAGAATTATCGTCTCACTTGTTGTTTCTGTTTGCCTCCTCCCAAGTGGGAAAGACCCCGGCCAAAGCTTGGCTTGAAACTCTAACTCATAACAAAATATTGCTTTCTCCGCTGAGACTTGAGTGCAGCAGCTTAAGGGGAACCACCCACTCCCCAGGCAGAGAATCAAATGTTAAAACAATAGCAAGACACAGATCCTCAGACACTGAATGCAGAGCATGGGGGGTGCAATGGATTAGACAACATGAAAATGATTTTTCTAGAAGTCAGTGAAGCTGGGCTGGGCAGGCATTGGAATATAGAGACAGAGGAAAGGGAGGACAGATGTGGTTTGGAAAGTTACACGAACTGTCTTAATTTTGTGTTTAGCAAATAACATGCATTACTTTTTTTTTTTAAGAGCACAGCCCTATCCTCTTGGCTAGAAGAAAGAATTTATCATTTACTATTAGTAGGTTTTGAAAAAGTTCATATAAGAATCTCAGATATAAAACCTGTATACATTTCAAAAGCAGAAATGGGCCAAAAAATGGTATTTTTTTAAAAAAGAACTGTGGTATCATCTGAGACCTGTGAAACCCATTTCTGTGTCTTTCAATCATCATCAAGACAGCTCAGAAAACAAAGTTCATTAGCCAGCGTGGTGGTGTGCGTCTGTAGTTTTAGCTACTTGGAAGGCTGAGGTGGAAGGATCACTTGAGCCCAGCGGGTCGAGGCTGCAGAGTGAGACTCTGTTCCAAAAATTAAAAATAGAAGAAAAGAGGCCAGGTGTGGTGGTTCATGCTTATAATCCCAGCAGTTTGTGAGGCTGAGGTGAAAGGATTGCCTGAGCCCACAGGTTGGAGACCAGGCTGGGTAACTTGGCAAGACCTCGTCTCTCAATAAATCAAGAAACATTAGCCAGGCGTGGTGGCACATGCCTGTAGTTTCAGCTACTTGAAAGGCTGAGGCGGGAGGATTGCCTGAGCCCAGCAGGTAGAGCCTGCGGTGGCCATGAGTGTGCCACTGCACTCCAGCCTGGGAGACAGAGTGAGACACCAACTCAAAAAAAGAAAAGAAAAGAAAAGAAAACAAAGTTCAAAATGCAATCATTACTTTAAAAAATTAACAACTGGCCAGGCACTGTGGCTCATGTCTATAATCTCGGCACCTTGGGAAGCCGAGATGAGAGGACTGCTTGAGCCCAGGAGTTTGAGATCAGCCTGGGCAACATGACAAGATCTTGCCTCTACAAGAAATTTAAAAAATTAGCTACGCGTGGGGATGTGAGTCTGTAGTCCCAGCTACTCGGAAGGCTAAGGCAGGAAGATCGCCTGAGTCCAGCAGGTACAGGCTGCAATTGCCATGAGCAAGCCACAGCACTCCAGCCTGGGCTACAGAGTGAGACTCCAACTCAAAAATAAATAAACAAACAGATAAATAATAAGTAAGTGTTTTCTCCAGCAGAGATGGGCTAACTAAAATGATAACTAAAGAGACAAAAGAGAACCGGGCTCGGTGGCTCAGCCTGTAATCCCGCGCCTTTGGGAGGCTGAGGTGAGTGGATTGCCTGAGCCCGCGGGTTTGAGACCCGCCTGGGCAGCGAGACCTCATCTCTACAATAAATCAAAAAATCAGCCGGGCGTGGTAGCGCGCGCCTGTAATTCCAGCTACTTGGAAGGCTGAGGCAGAAGGATCGCCGGAGCCCAGCAGGTCGAGGCTGAGGTAGCCGGGAGCGGCCACTGCACTCCAGCCTGGGCGACAGAGTGAGACTCCAACTCAAAAAAAAAAAAGAGAGACAAGAGATTCAGAATTGTTTACTGAAAATACTTGTTCGTCCAACATATCCCAAATGCCACTCAGCCCAGATACTGAGGAAGCCGAGGATCCAAAAAGAAAAAGCCAGTTCCTATACCCAAGATTTTACAGCCGGAATCTTTGGGATGAAGGGCCATATGGCAAGGCAGAGATGGGAGAAGAGAACACTAGACAC